GATCCTACTGTCAGGAAACAGTCCTTCAGTCCCACCTACAAATATTTACAAATAAGAAGCTTATGTAGATAATAAACAGAGCCGATATCACCTAATTTCCGAAACTATTCATGTTCGTTATGTTTTGGAAATAACGAACATAAATAGTAACACGATGACTCAAGATGTCTGTACGTTGTAGCAATACACCGATAAGAATGTGCGGGTCATTGACACATTTAGTAAAGCATGAAATAGACTATATAAAAATTAAATCAGCGTATTTATCCTGGATCAAACAGAGAGTTGCAACACATTTTACAAAAGATTGATATTATTAAAATATTAAAGAGTCTCTCAGTGATCGTACGTAAGATTAAGGCTTCTTATTTTCACAATGCAATACTCATTTTTAAGTAAAATACCTGTGCACAGACTGAGCCATTACAATTACCATCGTTACAAACTTTTGTCGAATCTTGGCATGGTAGACCATTTTCTTTGGGATCAGATGGTGGACATTCTGGACTTTCGCTGTTGCACTGCTGTTGTTTTAAACACTCTGATTCTGCCCGACATGTTCTAAAAATAAGAATGCTACTGAGTATTAAATAAGTTTTTCTGGTTCTACTCCATCTTATGCAACTTATGACCCTTCTTCACTTCTTTACTCCCTCGTTTTCTTTATTCCCGTACTTCTTTTGACTTTATTCTTTTATATTTGCTGGTTTCGCCACTAACAAAATAATTTGGCTTACTTTCTAGAAGCATATGGCTGACAGCTGGAAGCGTCGCAGCATGGTCCTTCTGACGGACTACACTGAGCAGAATGAATACGTTTGCAGCGAGACGCAGGTCCAGATTGACGAGGATTACAGCAGTTATCTTTCATTGTTTGACAATCTTCGGCACTGTATCCACAGTCGCAATCTTCCCCGGGTTCCTTTACCTGATTTCCGCAAAAAGAAGATTTTGCTTCTGTAAACAATATGGATACATTATTATAAAGCATCGAAAAGAAAAATTAAGGCAGAGAAAAAACACAGTAATAGATTATACCTCTAAAGCAATTTCGCTTTCCAGCACCTATATTACCGAAGCCACCTATTCGCAATGTAGCTTCGCTGTCCACTGGTCGTTGTTGCAGAACCTAAAGTCGTTGTTGCAGAACCTTTTCGATTTCATTCTATCCATATTTGAATTTTCATATGAGTTATTTCCCCTTCTGATTTTTCATTTTACAATATTTCTTTTAGAAACGTATTTCGTTATTTTTTAACCTGTCTTTGCAAGACAGAAAACGGATAAAACTTTCGGAATGATTCAATTATATGAATTTTGTTTTCAAAGCATACTTCAGTAAGCACCAAAGTAATATTTGCTATTGAACAGTTTGAAAACTGCGCATTATTCTTCTTATCCCCTGAAGTTGCAGAAGCAAACATGATGAAGTTTCCATCTGGTAATCCTGGCTGACAATTCAGAGGATAATCGTGCTAAAAACAAATTATTAAAAAAAATAAACCTAAAACATCATTTAGCTACAAAGATATCCAGTAAATATGAAGTTCTGAAATTTGTAGGCTAAAAGTTTCAAACGTAATAGACAGCGCTTCAAAATCGTTAAAAAAAGACAAAGAAACAAAAGGAATAAACATGCAACAAAAATTAAAATTTACCGGAGATCCAAAATTATGACCGATTTCATGAGCTAGGGTTAACTGCGACACCCGATTGGGGACACGATTACCATAATTTACCAATGTAATTATACCTGTATTGAGCGAACGATAGACAAAGTTCGAAGCCTCGCTATACTTCGTATATTGTTGGCATATACCACCAGCTGTGTCTGAAAATACTTCGTTACCCCAAATTCCTCAACTCTTCATTCCATTAACTATGACTAGCTCGAATGAGTTCTTGCTTTGGTAAAAGGGATAAAATATTTACATGTTTTTTATCAATATTAGACGGTTAAGGAAATGTAATATTAATGAAAGGAACTTACTGTGATTTGGACTGGCTACCCAAGCAAGGCCTAAAGTACCGCCTACAAAGTCGCGAAATGTGAATGCATAAGCTAAGCAAAAATCAGAGTGGTTTTTGCGAGAATTAAGGTTCAAATAATTCGACACATCGACATTTTCTTCACAAAATGGATTTTCCTGAGATACGCCTTTTGGTTTGCCATCTTTGCAAGTGCTTGGAGTATAAAGCTAAAAAATCATATAAAAACTTAATGTCAACAAAAACTCAGATTTAATAAACATAAAAGATAGATGGGAGTAAAGAAATCATTAATATTTTTAAAAGCAGTCGAATAAAAAATCAAACAAACCGAGATTCGTTGTATAACAAATGTAATGCCATTGATACCACCAAAGCTCGTACTTTCATAAATTTGATTCACTGCCTTAATGTGGTTGTAAAAAAGACTTGCAATCTCTTCCCTGGTCCTTCAAAAATAGAGTTTTTATTTTTCAAATTTACAAGGAAATTAATTTACATTCAAATTGAAGCTTCACTATTAAAAATATGCATCCGAACATGCCTGACGTCATCCATATTTCCTTCTTTTTCATAAACATGTTGGTAAAGCTTCTGATCTGCCTGGAGGTAGACATAGCATGCTCTAAAATTGATCAATTTTGCTAAAATTGTTCCGATACAGCACAGGTATAACATATGATTACTTCAATCAAAAAAATTGCAACATGATAAACAAGTTTCTCTGACCTGACGGAATAAATCCGTTTGCCATTAATTGTTTTAATGTCATTTTCTTCAGCAGATCGTTTGAATCGTGACTCAAGTATATAACTAAAATATTCCAAATTATAAACCCAATAAACAATGATTTGCTTGAGAAACTCTATAAATCTCATGTTATATTAACATTCCTAATAATTTAAATCTGGCGTAAAGTGACAACAATAACCGTTCATCAAATGCACCGTCTCGATAGGATTGCTCGTTTTCTTCGTCCTCGAAAATAACACTATTTTGCAGAATTTCCATTTTCTGCTGCGTTGTGTAATCTAGTCCACAATTCTGATTGGTTTCCACCAATGAACGTTTCCTTCTTTGTTTCCAAAAATTAATTGAATTATCTAAAAAATGAATGAAAAACAATACGGAATTCGTGATTCCCCTTCATTAATATTTACATAAGGATTATTCAAATAAAAATGACTCCCGTATTTGTTCTATAACCACCATAATTTTTGAAATAAATTATAAAGCTACTACAAACTATGCTGTGTTGAAGAGGTAGAAATATATAGCATTTCACTAAAAGTAATTTATATAGCAAACAGGAATAACCTACCTGAATAAATAATGGAATGGAAATGTTTTGGCCTATGCCTCCAATGTAAATACCGGTCGATTTTGTCTATGGTATAAGACTCTCCATTACCATAAATTATATGCCCATCAAATATTCCATCGCGAAATGAACCATACAACGTGGATTCTGGATCATCTAAAACCAAATGACGTTATGAAGAGTAGAAAAAAAAGAAATGTGTTTTCTTCTTAACGCAGTCATTTATTCCTTCAGTCATATCGTTAAATCCTTCTTTAAATCTAGCAGATCCAACTCTTTAACAAAGTATAATTCCCACTTTTATCATGACCGTGTACTAAAAAATCTCGCATTGGTACGTGCTCGCCTTTCCCATCGACATCAAAAATAAAATTATCGCTGAACACATTGGTACTCTCATCCAATGAACGAAGAATTAAATGGAATGATCTGCAATATTCCCATAAGATGTATAACAAAGCTGAAAAATTTAAATAAAACATATTAAAAATTCAGCTAATCACCAATTCAGTGAACATAGACAGCTACATATACCTGTTATGTGAAGCGAACTGAAGACTAAGAGGTGCATATATTCCATCAGGTGATCGCTTCCTGCGACCAGCCAATGGTTCATAACTAAGTGTTTCATACCAATCTACGAACCTGCTTAAACCATCTACTGAAAATTCATTAGATAGCAGAAATAAAGTTGAAAAAGAAAATGTCTGCCAGCATATGAATATGTGAACGATTGAGATCACTGCTACTGTCACGTTATTGCATTAATAGTGTATTATTCAAATTAAACATGAAACAAGAAAAAACGACATAAGATTACTCACCAAGCAATATATTAGAGATGAATAAAAGTGAAGCAACACACATATTGTTGGGATGGACACCCGAGAAGGATAAATACACAATCAAGCAGTTTACAAGTACCACAACATAGTACCTGAAATAAACATACAACATTTATTCGGTGTTGCTCTGAAATTTAATGTTTTTATCAGGACTATCCAAAGGAGCGAAAATGACCGCAAATGTGATTTTTTAGTTGACCCGTTCAAATAATTATCCAACATAGCAAGGTCATTCAGTATGTTGTGAATAATATGAGCACACTTTTCCTGTGTCCAATGCAGTATCTCTGTCCCTCTGTCATCAATTCCAATTCTTCAATCTATTCCATTCTAAATAATGAAACAATGGGCTTATTTTAATTACGACAACTTCTCTTGCAAGAAAACTAAGTGCATAAATAGAAGCTCTATGTATGCTACAGATATTCGCCTTTTTAGAAAATTTGTTCCCAAATGCAAAAAATGGATTAGACGCCACCCTCTCATCCTTGACATTCAGCTATCGGAAGTAAAAACTCTCAGCACTCAACATTTTAAGTTTATCTGTGCTACTGTGGCAAGATGGCAATGTAGCTCACGTGAAAATTCGGAATTCTATGCAAAGTCGCATTAACTATCAATGGAAGGATAGATGGTAGATATCAATTATCTCAATGTCCTAGTAACTTTTAAATTAAGCAAACAGGTAAAAAACCGACAACACTTCAAACTTTCTCGCGAAATAAAATTAATGATGTCCAACTGAACTAGCCACATCCGATCTCCTTACTAATATACAAAGGAATATAACGGAGTAACTTCCTCAAGAGTTCCAGATCTATCACTCATCCCGCCATTACATCACAATGAGGTGGAAAGTTGTAGCAAATCGTCTCTGTCAACGTGGCCTTCCCTACCCTTTCCTCACCTGTCGCATTGTGACAATGAAGTGGTGTATGGTTTTGGCTACTCTGGCCATTATCGACCCCTGTATGGACCACTTGGTAATGACTTCGAGACGTAACTCCACACTCGGGCTGGCACTTAATTAAGACTTTTTTGTTATCTTGCGAGTGTTAGCTTACACAAACTATAAATTTGTATGTGTTTTGCATCGTTCATTTTATTTCTGTTCATGTCTCATGTTCATGATAACAGGACAACGATTTTTTGCGACTGGATGAAAGCATTGGTGGTCAACAACTTATAGTAGATGAAGTCAGAGATAGGGTAAACAAGAGGGAATGCAGAGGTAAGGTAAAAAAAAAAAATGAGGAACTTGGAAAAAGGAACCTCCGAAGTAGTATCAAATGTCCCATTGCGGCGCATAGTATGGCTCTGTATCATCCGTTGTAAATTCCAAAAACCATATCCTTTTTCCTATCTGTTCATATGGGAATGCACAGTTACAAGAAAATCAAAGAGTCGTGTATTGATTCAGTACCTGCGAAAATGTTTGCAGTATGCCATTCAGAGATAATGGTGAGTAGATATAATTGTAGTCTGATAATAAATTTATTCATCTATCAGAAGAGAATGAACGACCACAAGCATACTGTCTTGCTCCACTGCACTCATTGCAGACACATTAGAGTAAGTATAGGCTCAAGCGAAATCGCTAAAGTTAGTTCTTCGATATAATAGGTTTGTTAATTTGAAGTAGAACAGTACGATCAAATACTTGACGGGACCCCTAAGCCATAGCTAAGTTTTGACTTAAAGCTTCTGGAAATGGATAGCCGTTACTGAGAGTTTCCTAATGAAAACCAACCAGATGAGCACCATGTAGTTCTTGATTCTTGTAGGCAAAATAATTTCAATATTATCAGTTTAGTCCATTGGACAAATATCGATTAATGTAAGATATCGTTCTGTGATGATATGCTGAAGTATTCAATACATCTCTCAGTGATCAACAAACACGGTATTGCAACAGTTTCCATTTCTTTTCATTACGGTCGTATTTGGATTTGCAAGAGATTAACGAATTTCTGGAATTTGAATTCTGAATTTGATAAATTTGATCTTTTATTTTTAGGTGAATAAAGGACAGAATGTGAAACTTCTTTGTAATACCGCTAAAATCATTAGTTTATTGTGTGTGATTTGTTGATATTCTATCAGATGTTCTCTTTGTTGCACTGACTCCTTTTTTCAGTTAATGGTAAAAGACTGAATGGGTACCCGGTTATCTGTATCACTGGAAGATCCGGAAGTCTCACCTCGAACGGATCGCCCTCCCACTTTTGACCCATTCTATGGATTTCCTAAAGGACGAAAACCGCGTGAAATGAAAGCAACATGGGAGGAAATGGATCACTGGAAAATAGAATTCGGCGATCGTGATTACTGTGCTCACTTACTAATTAATCTCAAAAAATGCCAGGTTGTCATGATACGTTTGGCTTAATCGAACTGTGATTAGAACCACCCTGATTTTTGCAATGGAACTTCAATGAATGCATGCAGAATGACCTCGTGTGACCCTTCCTTTTCTTTCTGCATTCGATATTTCACTATTTGAGAATCCTTGGGAATTTAATATTAAATTAGTTAAAGTTTATTACAGTAGGTTGTTCGTAAATTTACTTGCAGTGCAACATATTTCATTTTTCCCCTTAAAGAATGCAGACTAATATGTGTATGAGGAAATATGCAAAAAAATATAAACTTGGTGGTAATGACTGGTTTAGCGCATTTTTTTGTAACAAAAGCCATTAGTTTTTGTAATATAACGCCTTACATTTTAGCGACAGTATGCTCCTTTTTCGCATTATTACTGCACAGATGATTACCACGGATGGCAGAATTGTGAATATGAAGATCATCTTCTGAGGATGAAAGAATTCGAACGAGAAAGACGGTTATTGAAACGAGCTTCTCGTAAAAGAGCCGCCCAGGAAAAATCGAGTAGTCTTGAGGGAAAAATAGTAGTATAACATTTTTATTCATTGCTTTAGCATTTTCGTAATCCGTATTTCTTGTAGTATTGTTGGTATATATATATATATATATATAGCAAATAAAATCTTCATATTGCGATTTTTTTGATTTGCTCAGTTTTATCACCAGTGGTATTTAGAGTCTACAGCTATACTTGTTATTGAGAAGTCATTTCGAGGAGAAGTACAAATAGAAGCTTGTATTTCATTTGTATTTTCATGAATACTGATCATTTTATGGAGTGTTACAAAAATTTATATATATATATATATTTTTTTTTGAGTGGGATTTGAACAGAGATTGAAAACCTAAGATGAAATTTTAAATTTACTCTGAAATTACTTTCCTAGTCTCTTCCAGTAATATGGAACAGCAAAAGGTACGCTATATGCTCGATACACTTGCGGATCCGACCAGATTACGCAAAAAATTACTCCCAGTGATGGAAGAATGTGGAAAATTGTCAGGAAAGGATGCTTTTGGATGGGCTTTGCTTGCAAAATTAATTTACGCTTGTGATCAAGAGATGCTGAGAACCATTTCGTCAAGAGTTCAAGTATATCAATTTTGGTGTTGTGCTTGTGAATGAAGAATTGGCTGAACAATATAGAAAGTTCTTATGTGAATTGTTTTCGCCATTCTATTTCAGTTAATCATTTTAGAAGAGGTTGGTCGCTGCTGCTAGACAGCCAATTACGGTTCCTCTGTTGCACTTTGTCCGTTCATTCCTTGTTCGTTTTCAATGGCTTAAAAGTTTCAATGAACAAACTTTGGCTTATATATGTTCACGTGCTGTGGATTTTAGTGTTGAAAGTTGTTCCGAAAGCATTACTGAGTATAATTTAATTATTCCATATAATTTAGTTATTTACTCGGTCCGTATAGATACTTAATTTGTTACTATGGAAGTTTTGTATATTATGAGAAAACTTTGGAGTTTTAGAAGTTTTGAGTGTCGGTCAAAATTATAGAAAAAGTTCAATTAAAGACTATTATGTACAACTTTACACCACTGCTTTCACTGTATAATATTTAGGCTAAGATCGGAGGCGTAATATATCTGGTTTTTTAAGTCTATGTTATAGGCTCACTTCCAACATATATGCATTATGGGCAGGAACTAAGTATGATTACATTTTGATAAAGACATTGAAAAATATGTTGAGTAACGTGATTGCTGAAGAAAATGATGGGAATGAGAAGATATTATTGCGTTTTGAGACAGCTGTACAGCGCCATCTTCCACAGTTTATTTCTACAGTGTTCAATCTGCACATAGAAGTAATGGAGAGATGTTCAGCAAGTATTGTTTTTATGTTTTGTAGAGAGTTATGTGAGGTTCATTTTTAAAGAATATATTTTTTGAAAATTAGTCGTGAGAATAGCATACTTTCTGTTTGCTACATTATTATTTAGAATGGAATTACATATGTTGGTAGTTAAGGTCGCTCTCAGTTTGTTAATTTTTGGATTTGTAAATGACTTTGATTAGATATTTAATTCCATATTTGCTAGCTGTCAAGTAGATTTCATCAAAGAGCTATTTCAATATAATTCAGATGACAAAGTTGCTGTAAACGAGTGGTTGGATATAGCATATAAATCGGCTATTGTTGTTAAAACCGAGAAAATAAATTCCATTTTTCGGTGGTTAAGGACTTTTCTGTTAAAAGCTAGAAGTTGTGCACATCTCGCTGCACGAAGAATTTCTTCATTTATCAGTGATTTCTACCATCCAAGTGAAGCTTATTACGAAGCAGTAAAAGAATATGTTCAATTAGGACCAGACCTGAGTATTAATATTCTTTTTAAAACCTTCATTCGTTCTGCCAAGTGTCAGTTACACTCACAGGTGGGCTTATCATTCTAGTGTAGTTTTTTGGCTTTCAAATACTAAATGTATTACTTAGAATTTGTTCGATTTATTATACTGGATGGCATTTTTCAGGCAAATATACTGTTATTTTCAAAAATTTGTATTTCAGATAAAGTTCATTTTACCAGTTCTAGTTTTAGGAATATGGAAAAATATATGCTAAAGCGCTAGGTGCAATGCTGGAACTGAGACCTTATTTGTTAGATGTTCAGGATGTGTTAGAGCTGCAGCGCTTAGTTTGTCAGGAAGCTTTCGAAAATCGAAACTGTAGGCCAGTACTATCATTGCTAAACTCACTGTTGGCTATGAACAATGAATTGGTGCCGTCGCCTGTACAGGTTGTTATCGGAAAAATTCACTTGTTATGTAGTTCTTTCATTTTCTAGTTTCGTTTTCATTTTCAATTTCACAAACTAAGTCACTCTCTTTAGATTGCACAAAGCATCTTCAGTGGCAGTGAAGATTGGTGCGATGAGGTACGTCTGGGGCGAGCGTTATGTTCATCCATTTCGCGGCCCTCTATTCAACTAATTATTCCTCAAGAAAATTTGCTGAAGAAATTGAGTGATATTGTGATGAATGATGATCAGCACATACATTTCGATGTTTCTCAGAATTCGTCTAAACTAACTTCGACGGCAGCTAAAAATGAAATTCGTAATGAGCTTGTAAGCGATAATCCTGTGGGGAATCATGAAAATTTTGGAATAGAATCAACGGGAAGCAATGTTAGAAAGCGTTCATATCCATCAGCGGGAAAAACAACCTTAAAGCATGTACGGATTGGTTCCGAATGTAGTGAAGAAATGTTTTCTGCGAACGGAAGTTCGCAGTTCTTGGAAACATTAGAAATTACAGATGAAGAGCAAATATCAGAGAAAGTAGGATACACTTTAATGGAGCAAGAGGGATTACGAAATACTTCTGTTGCAGATGCTACAATAGCAAAACTTAATTCAAATTCTGAGATCATAATTTTGGATAAAAATATAAGTGATGGTGAGTTAACCATTCAGCAAATGATGGCTGATTTTGTGCCCGACTGTAGGTATCATTAAATCCATTGAATCAATATATTAACCAATATCATCATTTGCTCAATTTCTCTATGAAATGTGTGCAATGAGAATAGAAAATGTATGAAGAAAAAGATATAAACAATGAATAAAACTAGGAAAATTAAAGATTCAAGAAGGATTGAAATGAAATTAATATGAGCTAGTTCTGCAATGTTTGAACTCATTTGTGCAAATTGTCTTCTTTGAAATTCACATTTGTTTACCTTTTTTGTTATACAGTAAGTATTATTAAAAAAAACGTTTGTTAACATACAGTAAATGTTATCTAGACTGCGACTCAATACTTGTTTCTCTCTATGTTCTCTGGTTTTCATTTTACTGTACTGGTAATATATAAAAGTTAAGTATAAAACGTTCAGTGAAATGCAATTTATATATAAATGAGATGTCTTATTGCTGCTTGTTTAATTGATGCCTAGAAAAGATCTAATTGAGGGCATTTGATTGGCACTGGATTATATATATTCACTTTGTAATTAGCTCGTTAATCACATTAGTTTGGTATGGCATCGTTTGAATTTACGTACTATTGGTGGTTGAATTGCGATAAAGTGTGCCCACCGCAGATGGTGACATCCCATCTTGCAATGATTTGGTTATTCACTGGTGGTAGCACTGATCATTTGCTCAATTGTGATGGTTTCGGTTTCTGGATTTGTAAGAGACAAGAATTTTTGATTCAAGTACTGATGTCTGTAAGTCTGTTTTATAATCAAAAATTTAAGTAATCATTGTTTGAGAAGCCTTTTTATGCAATGAAGATTTTATTAACTGGAGCTGCTGGTTTTATTGGAAGTCATGTTACGTTGGAATTACTGGAAGCTGGGTACGACGTTATCTGTATCGATAATTTCTCAAATTCTGTGCAAGGTTCATTTATCTGCTATTAATTTCATCTGAACAGGTGATAACTTCAGGGATTCAGCCTGGAACAAGTATGAAATTAAGTGGTAATTCACTTAATTTCTTACTTCGGAACATATATTCGAGTGAAATTTGAATTTACTTCCGTTTCGTTGTGACGTTATTATTTTTAGGATTTTTGTTAGTATTATTTTTCCTTGTATTCTTCTACAATAAAGTTCTTTTTTGAAGATAACAATGGGAATGCGGTCAGTTTAAAACGTGTCTCACAAATTATAAACAAAGAGGTACCATTCGTTTTTGCTGACTGTAGGAACGAGAAGCACTTGGAAGCTATCTTTGAAAAAGTTTGCTTTTTATTTCATTTTGACTAGCTCATATTCAGTAACTTGGATAGTTTTAAAAATATATTTGACAAATCTTTCAAGTGTAAAAATAGATGTATTAATTACTGTTTCATTTATTTTATAGTATTCAATTGGTGGTGTTATTCACTTAGCTGGTTGGAAAGCGGTTGGTGAGTCGGTAAAAAATCCTCTTGATTACTATAGCAATAATCTTATTGCTACACTGGTCCTACTTAAGGTTATATTTTTTCATAAATTTTCTCATTACAATATATTTTGTATTGTCTACAGTCTCCACATTCTCTATACTGTTTTATGTATTGAACTGTTTTATATCTGAAACAACTCTTTCTCGAGCTCTGTGTAAACCTTTTCTTCACTTTGATTTTTGATGAATTTAAAAAAATATTTCACAGCTATGCGGAAAATACAATGTCAAAAACTTCATTTTCTCAAGCAGTGCAACTGTTTATGGACCACCGGACAGTTTACCGATTAAAGAAACTGATCCAGTGGGATATAAAATCACTAATCCTTATGGTCATACTAAATACATGATTGAACGAATTTTGATGGACTTAGCTCATGCTGATATGGTTAGAGATAATTAATAAAAATTACTCTAGCGAAAAAAAAGTTAGTTCAACTGGCTCGTTGAATATTCGAAAATTTTCAACTGTGTTTTGTTTTATTTTGTATTAAAATAAATCTGTTTGACTGCATTACCTTAATTGTGTGATTTAATTTGTTTTAATTTTAGAGCTGGAATATAATTATTCTAAGATATTTTAATCCTGTGGGTGCTCATCCTAGTGGCCTCATTGGTGAAGATCCGAAAGGAATCCCAAACAATCTAATGCCATACATGAGCCAAGTGGCTATTGGAAAATTACCGGTGTTATACATATTTGGAACCGAATTTGATACTGCAGATGGTAATGTGTTTTTTAGAATTATTTTGGGAAAATCCATTTTTCATGGAAACAAGTAGTGAATGGCAATAAAGGTTTTAGTTTCCTGTAGTTTAAGCATCAAAAGTTGTCCATTAATTAAATTTTTCGTTTGATTGTTGTAATTTACTTTTTATTTTCGCTTTTTAAGAGAGCTATTTGAACTTTTATTTTTTCAGGAACCGGTGTAAGAGATTATATCCACGTTGTGGATTTAGCTCGAGGACATGTGGCAGCATTTAATCATCTTAATAAACAACAAAACTGTGGTTGTGAAGTTTATAATCTTGGAACTGGGAAAGGATATTCAGTTTTGGAAATGATTGCTGCTTTTGAGAAAGCCAGTGGACAACAAGTAAGTTTACACTGATTAGTTGTTTGGTTGGAACAATTCCATTACTCATTTCTTTCATTTCCTCTGCTCTCAGTTTTAAATTTTAAAATTGCAGATAAAAACGGAAAATACTTTCCCTAGAACAGGTGATGTAGCCTGCATTTACTGCGATCCGTTGTTAGCTGCCCAGAAGCTTGGTTGGAAATGTGAATATGGCCTTGAAGAAATGTGTCTTGATTTGTGGAATTGGCAAGTAAAGAATCCAAATGGTTACCTATCATAGTAATTGTAAGTGAATTGGCTGAAGTTTAAAAAATTCAGTTTTCGGTTCATTTTCCAACTAATTTTTTCGATGTACTATTTCTGTAGTGATGTAGCAAATTTCGATATTGTTGTCAATTTTTTATTGTATTTTGATCTTGATGTCAGCCAAAATACAATAAATATAGTTTTTGTTCAAAACTACATTATGTTTGTTCTTTCACATACATTGTTTTCCTGTGTTCCTTTTTCATTTTCATTATTTCATCTGAAACTGTTTGAATTTCTGGATCTAATTCTACTTTGTTTTTGATTTTCTATCACCTTTTTGATTTTTTTTAATGTTACTATTAGTAACACTTCATTTTGTTGTTTCTAGGTGAACTTGTTTTTGTAAGATCCTTCTTAGCTTTATGCCAATTCCATCGTTCTATTAAAATCAAGTATTTGTTGTGATTTGCATGCTGATATTGCAAATAATGTATTATTTGAAAATATTGTTAAAATAAGGGTCTGCAAAAATAAATTCTTTATTTGTGGAAAAAAATCGCGTGTTTTTAATATCTTGGGGTATTCTCGATGCGTTATTCCGATGTTTTATTCTGGGTCCAGTACGGAAACAACAAAAATATTTAGGAAGATATTAAATATCGAAGAGCGCTTCTCTTTAGGCGTCACTTATAACGTTTCAATGTGTTCAAAATAATAAAACTTCATCTGTACTGTTTTTAATCTTCCGCTTCCTTGAATCTCCAGTTCTAGTTTTATTTGGCTTATCTAACTCCTGTTCATTGTTTTCATATTTGTCAAGTTGGATTAGATAGTTTTTACATCATGAATTCTTTTCGCTGTGTTGTTCTTAATGACGCAAACGCGAATACTACGGATAAGCTTCTTGTATTTGATTTACAACACTGCTTCATAATAATGAAGAGGTGTGTCTTGAACAATGTCTTTAAAGAGAAAATAAAGTGTTTTAGATACTAAGTTATTTTCAAATTACCTGAACATTTTTTCTCGGATAGTCGCTATGGTAAACCCTTTTGAAATTTTCTGCTTATTTACTTTATATGAACAGTTTTGATTAGTAATGTTTCCTAAGTTTCAGTCTCAATCATATTGGAAATGGTTCACTGACTGCTAAGTTATAACTTTAAAATTTTAGTTCAAGGATCTGATTTAAAATTGCTCAATATAGTTGTGTATCTGACTACCATTTTTCCATAATCCCCTAAGTGGTAGTCATTAATGCGATTCCCTAATATAATGTAGTATATTGTCTATTTGTAATATAGCAATTAAGCAAAGTGCAGTAAAACAAACTGGCAACACTAAATTCGTTGAACGTTGGTATCCTGGGACATGTGGACTGTGGCAAAACAACTTTAGCAAAGGCGTTATCCACAATGGGTTCAACTGCTGCATTTGACAAGCATGCCAAAACTTCTAATTTGAGAGCCAATACAATCGATCTTGGCTTCTCTACACTGACAATCGACAATACAGTAATTGCTTTGATCGACTGCCCTGGACACGCGTCATTAATCAGGTGATATTCATTAATTTTGTTTGGAATTTGTAACCGGACAATACTTTTTACGTGCAATTCAAAGATATGTAAGGATGACCTTTGAAAAGAGTATTTGGTATTTACAAGCATGAAACTTGTTGTAAGAATAAGAAAAAAGTTATTTTTATGCTAGTTAAGTTTTTGCTGATAATGTGAAATTTGTCTGAATATTTTCGTTCTTAGGTCGGTGCTTGCAGCGTCATCAGTTTTTGACATGGCAATTGTTGTGATAGATAGCAGCAAAGGAATCGAGCAGCAAACAGCTGAACATCTCCTTCTCGTATCACTATTCTGTCCAGATCATGTAATTCTTGTTATTAATAAGGTTAATAATTAAATCTGATTTGCAATTATGAATTATGAACCATAAATAGTAATGTTAAAAAATAATATTAAATGGGATTTCAGGCATGTGTTTTTTGTCTGAAACAGTTGCACCATTTTCAAAATATTCATTCCTAAGATGTCAGTTTGGTGAAGTCTAGCTTGGTTGTACGCTGGGAAATAATGCATTCGATTAATTCCATCCAGATTCCATTTCTTTATTAACGAATTCAAAACGGCAGGAAAGGAACTAGATACTGAGTTGAAATCAAATAATTTAATTGATTTTCTATGTGAAAAATGTTCCGGATTTCAGTCATCCATAAGAC